GCACTCCCCCAACCCCGAGGCTGCATCAGCAACGCCCACCCACCCGCGAGGGTCCGGCTGGTACCCGTCTGCCTTTAGCTCCTGCCACCTTGCTTACCGTTCCTCGTCCAGATGTAATTGTAACTAGAGCTTCAAAGACATTTTTCCAAGTTCATTCCCGGAGGGAATGATAGTGGTACTTTCCCAGGCGGGGCGGGGCTCGGGGAGCAGACTTAATCTTGGTGTCTCCTTACTTCCCTGATAAATAGGAAGCCGGCTCCTAGGGTGACGGCCAGCTCCTGGTGGACCTGCGTGGCACTTAAAAGTAGTGCAGGCTGTCTCCACCCCACCCAGAGCCCTACCGGGCACCTTCCAATCGGGAGAGGGACCGAGGCGATGCCTGGGCCAGTGTTGGGCCCACCGCAGGTATACAGCAAGCACCTATCCAATTCACGAACACACTGCACCTTTCCTGTCTAGTTCACGGGCCGTGTCTCCACCGCTCTCTCCAGCAGTGCTCTCAGCTGCCCAGTCCCAGAGCCAAAGGTGGCGGGCAAGAGCAGAGCAAGGCTCCCTCTAATCCCATGTCCACTTGGACTTGCCCCTCATCCCTTACCAGGGGTGAAGTCAGGAAAGGCAACCCACCCAACCTGGCAGCTCAGCTTAGAGGGACTCACATAGGGGGTGGGCGGGCTGTGGAGGGAGGAGAGGGTACTGAATTCATCCAAAGGTATGGCCCAAGGGGGAACCACAGAGCCTACACTTGGGGAAGGAGGGTGTCACAAGGTCTTTGGTCACCCCCACAGACTCCAGGAATCCTTCTTTGAATCCCACAACACGTTGCCACCTGCTGCTCTGGAGCCCAGTGGGTGACTCATCTGGCTGCTAACCACAAGGTCCACAGTTCAAACCCACAAGGGAGCAAGATGAAGCTTTCTATTCTAAAGATTCATGGGACTGGAAGCCCACAGGGGCAGTTGTACTATAGGGTCGCTATGGATTGGAATTGAGAGATGGCACCAAGCTTAGTGTTTTTAATTTGCTGTGGAAGGTGGCTGGCCTAAGCAATCTTATCTTAACTTACACCTTAAGGGTGTGAACAGGTTTATCTTTCCTGCCTGCTTGGGCCTCAGCCCTGGCTGGTTCACCGTGTTAGCTGTCATTAGGGACTGTTGAGGTTCTGACTCATAGCAACCCTGTGTAAGGCACAGAGCAGAAGTGCCCTGTCTTCACAGGGGTCCTATGCCTGAGCCCCTTGTTGCAGCCACTGTGTCACTCTCTCTACAAGGGCCTTCCTCTTTCGGACTGCCCTTTATTTTCAGGCATTATGTCCTCCAGGGACCAGGCTCTCCTGACAAATGTCCAAAATACAGAAAACAAAGTCTCGCCATCCTTGCCTCTAAGGAGTATTCTGGCTGTACTTCTTCCAAGACATCTGTTTTTTATGACAGTCCCTGGTACTTTCAATGTTCTCCACCTGCACCGTCATTCAAATGCCTCAATTCTTCTCTTCCTTACTCAGTATGCAACTTTCATATGCATCCGCGGCATTGAATGTACCATGACTTGGGTCAGGTACTTAGTTCTCAAAGTAACCGCCTTGCTTTACAACACTTTAAAGAAGTCGGGCAGCAGATTTACCCACTGCAATGAGAATCGTTTGATCTCTTGCCTGCTCTCCCATGAGCATTGATCGCGGATCCGAGTAAGGCAAAATCCTCGACGACTTCCATTCTTTCTCTACCATGTTAGCTTTTGGTCCAGATTTGAGGATTTCGCTCTGTGCGTGGAGTTGTCATCCGTGTGGAAGACCGCAATCTGATCTTCAGCATCAGTGCTCCCAGTCGTCCTCACTGCAAATCAGCGAGCGAGGTGGTAATCGGCCTTCCTCCCATCCTGATGCCACATACTTCCTCTTACATTCTAGCGTCTCTGTTTATTTGCTCAGCATCCAGACTGCATAAGCGTGCTTGCTTCAGCAGCACATATGCTAAAAAGAAAGTGCATAAGTGTGGTCAGAGGACACAGCACACTTTTCCTGACTTGAAGCGATGTCCTCTTGTTCCGTTCTCGGCACTGTCTCTGGGCCCGGGCACCTTTCACGTGAGCTCAACGAAGTGCTACGATGCCCGTTTTTCTCAAGGCGGTCCACCGTTTATTTTGGTCCACCCAGTTGAATGCCTTGGCATAGCCAATGACACACAGGTAATCATCTTTCCGGTGCCCTCTGCCTTTAGGCAGATCCACCTGACATCCGCAGTGAGAGCCCTTGTTCCACGTCCTCTTCT